GCATATAATAATATATACATATCTATATATGAATAACATAATATAACATTAAATCAAAATATAAATGCATGGCATCATACATTTCCAAGCTCCCAACAGTATGGTCAATTTAAATCCATTGGTGCTCCACCTAATTTTCTCTAATTGTATATATAATACTGCGAAAATTCTGCATCTTGTAATATTGTATATAAATTATTAAACACTGGCATGCTGTCGAAGTAATAAATTACAAGAAACAAACCTTTCGTAGAGAAAACTAAACTTACAGCTCCTCTTTGATGACAATAATACTGAAAATCATAAAATTTAAAAATAAATATCTAACAAGTGCTGTACGGAGATCGATGGCAGCTAGGAAAATACGTATACATATAATTGTAACACTAAATGAGAACAAATTAATTGCACAGTTGTTATGATTGATGGTACTATATTTAAATTTTATTAAGTATTTATTTATAGTTGTATTGCACAGGGTGCTAGCAAAGCATTTTTTTGTTATTTTATACGATTGGTTTTAAATTATTGACCATTTGTAATGCGACAGAAGTTGCTTTAGCGATTTTCGTGGAATTTTATTTGACCTGTTACGCTTTAATTTATTGATTTATCTGACGTGATCAGGTGCAGCCTGTTAAATAACAGGAGGGTCCATCCGTCCGTATGTACTCCGGCAGTAGTGGCCCTAACGTTCCAATCTGCTTCGCGTATGGTGGTAAAACATGGGAGAGCAAAGCGGGATCAGAAATGCACACTTTAGGAATAGATGGGAGTTGAAGAAACGCAGAAGTGCAGCAGAAATCTCAGTGGCTTGACCTACGGTACCTCGTGTATTCGTTAGTCATATTAATGCACTAATGCACATTGTTGTTATTGTAGTACAGCGTTGTATTGTTTCATTGTGGAGTGTTGACTTGATATAAAATAATCTACAGAGATTTGAGGATCGTAATAATTGTTATTGTAGTACAGCATTGTATTGTTTCATTGTGGAGTGTTGACTTGATATAAAATAATCTACAGAGATTTGAGGATCGTAATAATTGTTATTGTAGTACAGCATTGTATTGTTTCATTGTGGAGTGTTGACTTGATACAACAGTAATGATGATTGGTCGTTTACAGGATGACACATCGGGGGAATATCAACAACTTCTGCTCATGTTGATTGGTGAGAAATAGAGACTACCTGCCATCGACTCGTCACAGCACTTGTTAGATATTTATTTTAAATTTTATGATTTTCAGTATTATTGTCATCAAACAGCTGCTGTAAGTTTAGTTTCTCTACGAAAGGTTTGTTTCTTGTAATTTATTACTTTCGACAGCATGCCAGTGTTTAATAATTTATATACAATATTACAAGATGCACAATTTCCAGTATTATATATACAAATTAGAGAAAATTAGATGGACACCAATGGATTTAAATTGACCATACTGTTGGGAGCTTGGAAATATATGATGCCATGCATCTATATTTTGATTTTAATGTTATATATATGTTATTCATTATATAGATATGTATATATATATTTATATCTACGTATACATATAATTGTAACAGGGGAGAAATCCTGGGGCACGGATGAAGCGCGCTTCAATCAGATCCTGGTGTCGCGAAGTCCCGCGCACCTGCGGGCCGTGTTTGTCGAGTACGGCAAGCTGTCCAGGAAGGACATACTGAAGGTCATCAGGAGCGAGACATCCGGAGATTTGCAGACCGGCTTGCTTACCATAGGTGACGTAGAATGGATATAGTCGTAATAAATATAATATAATAGATATAAGTATATACAATAGATAATAGTCGTAGTGATACACTTTTCGGCAATAGCAGGAGCAGCCTGCAATTGCTATAGAGTGAATAAAAGCAAAAACTGAAGGCTATGTATGAGTAGATTCCCATAACTTTACGCGTAACCCCCGTTAACAATGGATCGGAACAACATAAAACCATATTAATAAGCAGCAGTTGGCATTTGATATTGGAAAATGAAGCGTTTTTTGTCCTGCCTTATTTCTGAGCCGAGGTGGACGTGCATAAATACTCGTGCATCTCTGTCAGATGCTCACTAAACCTTGATGCAGTAATATAATAATGGCAAAAAGATACTTTTTTATGGTATCACGACCTATGCGTGAGCTCAATGTGAATCGAAAGCTTGACGATATGCTGCTACATCTCTGATGGGTTACACGCACCATTACGCTGAGAGGGTCGATGTCCCCCAGGGTACTGCCAGAACGTACCCTGGTACTATCTGATATGCCGGACCGTACCTCGCCTACTCCACTAACGAGTCTAGGGAGTCGCCTACACCTACTCCCTAACCCTAACCCTAACCATATCAGATAGTTATCAGGGCACGTTTTGGTATACATTCACACATATATACACCGGTATACATTCCGGCACATGCATTCTTCATTGTATTGTTAACATGTATTGCAGTGAAGTGTATCCGGAACAAGCCTGGCTACTTTGCAGAGTGTCTCTACAATTCCATGAAGGTAAAGACAATTGCTAATCAAACGCCGCAGTTCACACTGCCTCTATGTACATAGCGGGGATACATACAGTTGACAATACTGGTCAACAGCTTTATCAAGATTTCTCATATATATACACACAGTTAAAGGTAGTTAAGGGAAACACCAAAAGTAACCTTCTTTATGGACAAACAAATTAAGTGACCGCTTAATATCTGTGGTTTTATTGTTTAGACACTCACGAAAGACACCAAATATGGCCGGTAAGAACAGTTAAGTGGCCGTTCTATATAGGTAGCAGCTGACGCAGGTGTGACTGCGTCGCGTACTGTACGTATGATTAGTGTAATAATGACGACACGTCTCCATGACGACAGGGTCTGGGTACGGATGACAACCTGCTCATCAGAATCATTGTCTCTCGCTGTGAGGTCGACATGGTGCAGGTGAAGGTCGAATTCAACAAGAAGTATGGCAAGGGCGGCCTCGGCAAGTGGATCGCGGTGAGTGTACGCGAAAAAATATGACTGAATAAAACTTAAACTGCTGAAAATCGAATAAAATACAAACTCGGACGTAATCATCGTCTTATCAAAATCCCCAATCAGTCATGGTGAGTACTTACAGAAATGTATTGCTATTTAACATCTACAACTATCTACAAGTGTCAAATCTGGAAACTGTTTACAGTAGTTACCTACCAACCTTAGGAGGTGATGTTCCTATGAAATGTGGTTCGAGGATTTAGGGGGCGGGAACAATTCTATGCTTGATTATTTGTATCCATGCATGTAGTAAAACAAAACATGGGATCGACAGAGATTTCAGGATCGTAATAATGACTTAATGCACATTGTTGTTATTGTAGTACAGCGTTGTACACAGGTTATATAAGGCTTTGCATTCATTGTATGCCAACCTGCATCAAACCCGGTGTACGCTATAACCACTGATCTTCTCTCTGCAGGCATTATACGTCGAGTGCAGTGCAGTACAATGTAGTGCAGTGCAGTACAGTTCAAGATTAGTATTCCGGATGTGTTTGCAAAATAGGGAATGTTCCAGATGCCTAGTAGTGACTGTGATGGGGTGGTTATTAAGCCCTGTAAAATGTGCGCGTTGTGCGAGTGATGTGTGATGTGTGCGTGCACAAATATAACACCGATGAAATAGAACGGTTACCAGACATAATGCTGGGTGTTATCATCGTTGTGACAGGGTCTCGGAACTAAGGAGTCCGTGCTCATCGAGATACTGTGCACCAGGACGAATCGGGAGATCGAAGCACTGAAGAAGGCCTACGAATCCAGTGAGTGCACCCACAGAGAGTTCTCGCCTATTTAAATCTTCAAGCTGTAGCTTTGTTCAGCTCATTTATATATTATATTCAGGGTTCTCCTCAGGCATTACAGAAGGCATGTCAGGCAATGAGGCAACATACCCTATTGCCAATTGAAGTCACTTAAGTGTGTCGTAAGCGGTCCCAATACACATGTGAACGCGATCAGTTCGGAGACGTATACATCAAGATGTGAAAACAGTATGACTGTGTTGCGTTTGTCAAAAGTAAACACAGCCGAAAATTAAGGCATGTCGAAAGATTTTTGGGGATTCGTTAGTAATTATTTACTACATGTATGCTTGCAATTACAGCCTTCGAAAGAAACCTAGAAGATGACATTGTGTCTGAGAGTTCCCAACATTTCCAAAGACTGCTGGTGTCCCTTGTACAAGGCAACCGAGATGAAAACACGAAAGTAGATATGGCAAAGGCTAGGGAAGATGCACAGGTATTTGTATATATGACATAAATGGATGTATATTATAGTATGTTTATACCTGAGACATGAGGATTTTCAGGTCAAGAAAAAGGCTAATTCCTACAACCTTTGTCGTTTAAAATCCACTCTCTCTCTCTCTCTTGTGTTAGGCAATGCTAAAATGCTCTAAACGCCCGTGTGCAACTTCTGTCCCCCCCTAAACTAGTTTTTATAATGAACTCATTTAACAGACGTTTGGCTTAGGAAACGAACCTCAAGACCATATGTTGTCTGTTATACGTGGTATGATAGTGTTAGGAGTGATTAAAAAACATTTGTTTTTATTTTCCCCTGTTACTATACTGAATAATCACGAAATTCTCTATCTATAATATCAGGCGTATATAATATAGATCTATACATCTATATTATAATCAATATTATACACCTGATAATATGTGATAACCGTAACTCAAACAGTAGAACACACGCTATATAAGACATTGCATTCATTGTATGCAAACCTGCATCAAACAGTAGAACACAGGTTATATAAGGCTTTGCATTCATTGTATGCCAACCTGCATCAAACCCGGTGTACGCTATAACCACTGATCTCTCTCTGCAGGCATTATACGTCGCAGGGGAGAAAATCCTGGGCACGGATGAAGCGCGCTTCAATCAGATCTGGTGTCGCGAAGTCCGCGCGCACCTGCGGGCCGTGTTTGTCGAGTACGGCAAGCTGTCCAGGAAGGACATGATGAAGGTCATCAGGAGCGAGACATCTGGTGATTTGCAGACCGCTGGCTTACCATAGGTGACGTAGATGGATATAGTCGTAAATAAATATAATATAATGGATATAAGTATATACAATAGATATAGTCGTAGTGATACACTTTTTGCAATAGCAGGAGCAGCGCTGAAATTGCTATAAGTGAATAAAAGCAAAAACTGAAGGCTATGTATGAATTGATTCCCATAAATTTACGCGTAACCGCTGCGTTAGCAGATGAATCGGAACAACATAAAACCCATATTAATAAGCAGGCAGTTTGGCATTGATATTGGAAAATGAAGCGTTTTTGTCCTTGCCTTATGTTCTGAGCCTAGGGTGGACGTGCATAAATACTCGTGCATCTCTGTCAGATGCTCACTAAACCTTGATGCAGTAATATAATAATGGCAAAAAAAGATAGCTTTTTTTGGTATCACGACATATGCGTGAGGTCAATGTGAATCGAAAGGCTTGACGATATGCTGCTAGCATCTCTGATGGGTTACACGCACCATTACGCTGAGAGAGGTCTATTGTCCCCCAGGGTACGCCGGAACGTACCCTGGGTATCATCTGATATGCCAGACCGTACCTCGACGCCTATCTTCACTAACGAGTCTAGGAGTCGCTACGCCGTACTCCCTAATGCCTTCCTAACCCTAAGAGTACCATATCAGATAGTTACTCAGGGTACGTTTCCGGTATACATTCACACATATATACACCGGTATACCATTCCGCTCACATGCATTCCTCATTGTATTGTAACATTTATTGCAGTGAAGTGTATCCGGAACAAGCCTGGCTCCTTGCAGAGTGTCTCTACAATTCCATGAAGGTAAAGACAATTGCGAATCAAACGGCTGCAGTTCACACTGCTCTATGTACATAGCGGGGATACATACAGTTGACAATACACTGGTCAACAGTCTTATCAAGATTTCACAGGTTAAAGGTAGCTAAGGGAAACACATAAAAGTAACCTTCTTGTGACAACACAAATTAAGTGACCGTTAATATCTGTGGTTTTATTGTTTAGACACTCACGAAAGACACCAAATATGGCCGGTAAAAGAACAGTTAAGTGCGCCGTTCTATTATAGGTAGCAGCTGTATGCAGGTGTGACTGGCGTCGCGTACTGTACGTATGATTAGTGTAAATAATTGACGACACGTCTCCATGACGACAGGGTCTGGGTACGGACGACAACCTGCTCATCAGAATCATTGTCTCTCGCTGTGAGGTCGACATGGTGCAGGTGAAGGTCGAATTCAACCAAGAAGTAATGGCAAGGGGGTGGCCTCGGCAGTGGATCGCGGTGAGTGTACGCGAAAAATATACTGAATAAACTTAAACTGCTGAAATCAGAATAAAATACAAACTCGGACGTAATCATCGTCTTATCAAAATCCCCATCAGTCATGGTGAGTACTTACAGAAATATATTGGCTTATTTAACATCTACAACTATCTACAAGTGTCAAATCTGGAAACTGTTTACAGTAGTTACCTACCAACCTTAGGAGGTGATGTTCCTATGAAATGTGGTTCGAGGATTTAGGGGCGGGAACAATTCTATGCTTGATTATTTGTTCCATGCATGTAGTAAACAAAACATGGATCGACAGAGATTTCAGGATCGTAATAATGACTTAATGCACATTGTTGTTATTGTAGTACAGCGTTGTATTGTTTCATTGTGGAGTGTTGACTTGATATATAAATAATCTAGCAGAGATTTGAGGATCGTAATATTTTTAATTGTGTACAGCATTGTATTGTTTCATTGTGGAGTGTTGACTTGATATAAAATAATCTACCAGAGATTTGAGGATCGTAATAATTGTTATTGTAGTACAGCATTGTATTGTTTCATTGTGGAGTGTTGACTTGATACAACAGTAATGATGATTGGTCGTTTACAGGATGACACACATCGGGAATATCAACACTTCTGGCTCATGTTGATTGGTGAGAAATAGAGACTACCTGCCATGCACTCGTCACAGCACTTGTTAGATATTTATTTTAAATTTATGATTTTCAGTATTATTGTCATCAAAGAGCAGCTGTAAGTTTAGTTTTCATCTACGAAGGTTTGTTTCTGTAATTTATTACTTTCGCATCAGCATGCCAGTGTTTAATAATTTATATACAATATTACAAGATGCACAATTTCCAGTATTATATATACAAATTAGAGAAAATTAGGCTGGACACCAATGGATTTAAATGACCATACTGTTGGGAGCTTGGGAATATATGATGCATGCATCTATATTTTGTTAATGTTTATAATATATGTTATTCATTATATAGATATGTATATATATATTTATATCTACGTATACATATAATTGTAAACACTAAATGAGAACAAAATTAATTGCGAGCAGTTGTTATGAGTTGATGGTACATATTAATTTATTAAGTATTTATTTATAGTTTGTATTGCAACAGGGTGCTTAGCAAAGCATTTTTTTGTTATTTTATACGATTGTTTTAAATTATTGGACGCATTTGTAATGCCGACGAAGTCTGGCTTTAGGCGATTTTCGTCGGAAGTTTCATATTTGACCTGTTTACGCTTTAATTTATTGATTTATCTC